CACATAACTTCTGCTTTATTAAACTGCCTTATCTCAACCCATGAGTTGTTTTCCATCTTACTCTCTCCCCTCTCCAGCTGGGAAGGGGAGTGATAGAGCAGCTGGGTGGGCACCTGGCATCCAGCCAAGGTCAACCCACCACTAAGTGGTACCTCCAAAAGAACAACTTTGGGACCCCCACCACCGAGAAGACCAGGATGAAGAAGGAACAGTGGGACACTGCAGGGATTCACAGGGTGGTGCTATCTTTTGCTTAATGTCTCTCACTCTCTTTCTCTTCCCGCCCCCTCCCTATGTCTCTTTCTACCTCACATTTACTGTTAAATAAAATCCATACTATTGACTTTGGCATATGGTCTTGTTTGCACCTTAATTAGGGCAGAGACATCCCTTTATAAATGCATCATAACATTCCCACATTAGGATTGGGTTAAGCATCAGTCACTAGAATACAATCCATAGCTGCAACAGGATAGATAAATATGTCTATATGGGCCAGCAGAAAGCAACCAGGAACAGCAAGCATTTATCTCAACATATGTTCCCATTAGCCTAGGTTCCACTAAGAGCCCAGCAACACTCCTAAAGGATGGGTCAAAAGAAGCCAAACTCAAAACTTTACAAAAACTGTGTCCAACTTATCCTTCTTAGACGAGATAGAGGACACTGTTAAAGGTAGATCTGAGAAAGGACATATGTTTTGGCATTAACCATCTGACAGTCTGAATATAGGCATAAACATTGTAGAAATAGTCTGAAAAGATTACAAAGTCTCAGTTTACTTTATCTTTAGAGTTCAATAGAGAAATGCTACCAGGTGTCAACACAGTAGTCTCTGCTGATGCAAGCAGACAGCATCATCTCAGTGCACACTGATACAGCCTTGAATCAACAAAATATTAAGGCAAGATTATGATAGTCATCACACCCAATACTCCCTAACTGACAAGTTGAATTTCTAAAGACTGGAGAATATTCTTGACGAATGACAACGTCTATCATCTTTTGATTATTTAGCATATGACACATCCACCTCTCATTCACAAAGTTCAGGATGCTGTGTGAGATAGCACATGCAGGATGGAGAGGTGGTTGGTGTCAGCTGGAGGCTGAAAGAGGTGTAATTCCAGGTTAAAAATAATAAGCAAGTCCCAGAGAATTTACAGAATTTTCCTACTGTAGTGGCTTTTTGTGGAAATATCTTTAATAGCAGATGGGTTGCAGGGGTGGTTATTGTGAGAAGACACCAGAAGCTGCCCCCATGTCCAACAGAGCCAGTTCCAGCCAGCTCCAAGACAAACCTGCTGCTGGCCAAGGCTGATCCCATCAGCGATGGTGGTAGCACCTCTGGGATAACAGATTTATCAAGGGGTAAAAACTGCTCCACAACAGCAGGCAGAAGATAAAGCAGTGAGAATATGCGAGAGAAACAACTCTGCAGACACCAAGGTCAGTGAAGAAGGAGGGGGAGGAGGTGCTCCAGGCGCCGGAGTCCATGGTGCAGACCATGGTGAAGCAGGCTGTCCCCTTGCAGCCCATGGAAGTCCATGGGGGAGCAGAGATCCACCTGCAGCCCATGGAGAATTCCACACTAGAGCAGCTGGATGTGCCTGAAGGAAGCTGTGACCCCATGGAGAGCTCACACTGTAGTAGGCTCCTGGCAAGACTTATGGTCCTGTGGAGAAGCCCACATGGGAGCAGGTTTGCTGGCAGGACCTGCGAGCCCATGGAACGGATCCATGCTGGAACGGTTCATGGAGGATTGCCTCCCATGGGAGGGACCCCATGCTGGAGCAGGAGAAGAATGTGAGAAGGAAGGAGTGGCAGCTACAGTGTGATGAACTGACCACAACCCCCATTTCCCATGTCCCTGCACTGCTCAAGGGGAGGAGGTAGAGAAGCTAGGAGTGAAGTTGAACCTGGGAAGAAGAGAGGGGTGGATGGAAGGTGTTTTAAGATTTGTTCTTATTTCTCATTATCCTGCTCTGGTATTAATTGGTAATAAATTCAATTAATTTCCTCAACTCGAGTCTGTTTTGCCTGTGACAATACTTGCTGAGTGATGTCTCCCTGTCCTTATCTTGACCCATGAGCCTTTTGTCATACTTTCTCACCCTTGTTCAGTTAAGGAGTGGGCACCTGGCATCCAGTCAAAGTCAACTCACCACAAACATATAAAATATAGAAAGTGATCTGAGAAGCAGCAGCACCAACATGCACACACTCCAGAAAACAACTCATTAACAGAAGAAAAGAGGCCTATAGGATTCTGAGCTCAGATCAGGGGACATTAAAAAAAACAAAACAAACCAAAATAAACCCCCCAAAAAAATAAAGCAGGGCAGTGCTACTATGTTATCTATCACTTTTTATGCCTGCCAAACCAAAAAGGAACAACTACAGTAAGAGAGTATCTAAATAATAATTTTCATTTACAAAGAAATTAGTAAAAACAAACTTCTTTCATAACCATATTTTTCAGTTAATCTGAACTAAGGAAGATCTCCCAGCACCATGCCTCCTGGGAAGTACCTTCTAGATACCTATACCTCAATCTTTAATGGCTTGGAATCATATTTTATTCCATCAACTTGCCTACTATCTTACTTCCTGAACCTCTGCCAGTAAGGAACTGCATAAGAAGCTGGGGGAAGCATGGTCAGGACAGTTGACCCAAACTGGTCAAAGGGATATTCCACACCATAAAATGTCATGCCCAGTATAAAAACAGGAGGAAAAGCTGGCCAAGAGCCGCTGCTCGGAAACTGACTGAGTATTGGTTGGTGAGTGATGAGCAATTGCATTGCACATCACTTGCTTTGTGTATTCTAATTATTTTATCATTATTATTATTTTCTTCCTTTTCTGTCCCAATAAACTATCTCAGCTCACCAGTTTGAGTTTTCCTGTTCTCTCTCCCATCCTGCAGAGGAGGAGGGGGGAAGCAAGCAGCTGTGTGGTGCTTAGTTGCTGGCAGGGGTTAAGTTACAACAATGGTATAAAGGTACATGAACAATAAAAGTATAATAACATACTTATTAACAACTAAGAATTGAATACTTTATATCTACATTAGCACCTTGCTCAAAGATTTAATATGTTGGCCAATTCAGGTCTTCAAGGTGCTCTCTCAAACTTGAAGCATTCATTCCCCCAAGGCCTTAAAAATTATCAGATTTCCTACACAGGATGCATAAAAAACATTTGGATATATTCCAGCCTTCAAATATTAAAATATACTTTCTTCCTCCTCCCTCTTTCATTTTTCCTGAAGTAAGCTTACAGCACAACCAAAACACAAGTTCAAACATAATATATATGTTCTTGATGATGCTCTACATGTTTCAGGGCCCATATGTAAGTAAAATCTAATTTTAAGTGAAAAAAGCAAGCATTCAAAAACTCAGAGGTCAAGCATTAGAAGGCAGAAAAAGCACTAGTAGCAGGACACTAAGGAAAAAAACACCCGCCCCCCCAAATCAAACACATTAAGTACAAACAAACATGAAAACACATGCCCAAACATGTCTCTTTCACTGGCAAAGACCTCAGAAATCTGTAGCTGTAGTACACTGGAAAGGAAAGTCTTTCACACACCCTGATCATTACTAAGGAACTACCTGAATTTACCAACCGGAAGAGGTTACACAGTATGCCATAAAGAGTTTGTACAAACGTCCATAAAAATAAGCCAACAGTAAGTAACTACATTTTATTAGAATTAAGATTTCAGAATGAAGATTCTACAGACATAATATTTGGACAGCTATAGTCTGTGATTGCCCTGGTTTCAGGTAGGGTAGAGTTCTTCTCAGTAGCTGTTACCGTGCTGTGTTTTGGATTCAGTATGAGAATGGTGTTGATAACACACTGATATTTTGGTTTTTTGCTAAGTCATGTTTATCCTAAGTCAAGGACTTTTTTTCTCGTCTCATGCTCTGCCAGTGAAGAGGTACACAAAAGAAACTGGAAGGGAGTGTAGCTGGGACAGGTGACCCAAACTGGCCAAAGGGATATTCCACAACATAGAAAGTCATGCCCAGTATATAAACTGGGGAGAGTTACCAAGAAGAGGGGCCAATCTGGGTTCGGGAAGGGGGGCTCTGGCATCAGTCAGCAGGTGGTGAGCAATTGCATTGTGCATTACTTGTTTTTCCCTTTTTATTATCATTATTATTAGCATTTACAATTATTACAATATTTTATTTCATTTTTGATTATTAAACTGTTCTTATCTCAACCTACAAGTTTTACTTTGATTCTCCTCCCCATTCCACTGGGGGAGGGGTGGGAACAGAGGTTGAGTGAGCAACTATATAATGGCCAGTCTTCGCGAGCGAAGATCCGGGGAAGGTCTTTACACCTTCCAGCCTGCCGGGGCCAAGCGAGCTTGGACGGTGGCAGCGAGGTCCTTAGGACGTAGATGGGTTGCCTTTTTAAGGGCTAACGAGCTCCATCTGCCCGGGAGTGGCCCTGACCGGGAATCGAACCCGGGCCTCGTCGGTGACAGCGCCGCGCCCTTAACCACTAGACCACCAGGGGCAGTGAGTAACTACCTGGTGCTTAAACTTCCAGCTAGGCTTAAACCATGACAGTGATCTTCAAAATATTTAACAGATTGATTACTAGGAAGATCACAGTCACAACTGGATTTAGTAGCATATTTTATAACATGTATAGTCATGATTCATCACCACGAAGTGCAAAGTTATTCCACAATTTCACTATAGTCTGATAGAAGTATGATGCTCCCACATTTTTTTGAAGATTTCATTGGACATTTAGAATGGAATCTATTTCAAGACTGAAACTACAAGCACCAACATGTTATCAGATTTTTTTCCACAAAGATTCCCAAGACAATAAAAAGTTCTACATGACTATGGAGATAAATGCACCAGCACATGGAATATAGAAATCAATTTCCTTTTTCTTTCAAGTTAAATAAAATAAAATTTAAAAAAATATAGAATAAACTAGACAATATCTGAAAAATTTACCTTCAGACTTCAACTTTGTAAGAACAAAAATCAGGTAGTTGTTGAAATCTGGATACTGATTGAGTTGTTCTAGTTTCTAAAGAGAAAAACTGTTAAGGAAATTAAAATCTTCACACAGAGCATTTATAGCTTTCTGAATACTATGATTGACTTATGCACTACATCATTTCAAAATGTTATAAGCTCTCAACATACAGAGTATGAACATTCTAAAAACAACTGCTGTAATTTTCATACTGAAGTAGTAGCTTTTTAGTTTTGTTGAAATCTTAGAAAAGAATCCAGGAACAGACACAGAAATCCCCACCCTCCCAAAACCCGCTACGTTCCTCTATACAGTTTTAGATGTCAATATTTACACTTAAAAGATAGTAAAACCTAAGGAATCAACTGGGACACAATCACATAACACACCATTTTTTTTCTCCACAATAAATAAAAGCACTTCATCATTAAAATACAACAGCTATGATGATTTTGATAAGCTACTCACTTTAATATTAGTCCCTCCTGCTGTCAGGCAGATGGAGCAAACCGAGTGGATGGGGGGAAATGGAAACAGATCCCTGTTCGGAGAGGTAAAAGAACACCCTCTCGACCCCCATCACCTCCCCAGGTGCCCTTGAACAACAGATATGAGGCCCTAGACTCAGAAAGTCAAGTAGAGGTCAGGCAAGAGGAAGATCTGCCTGCAGGTTGCACCCTGTCTACCAGACGGATTACAACTACAGCTATAAAGAAAAAAAGAAGGGTAGTTGTGGTAGGTGACTCCCTTTTGAGGGGAACTGAGGGACCTATATGTCGACCAGACCCATCCCACAGGGAGGTTTGCTGCCTTCCCGGAGCCAGGGTGAGGGACATTGGTAGGAGACTTCCTGAGCTAATTCGGACCTCAGATTACTATCCACTGTTGGTAATCCAGGCTGGCAGTGATGATATTAATAGAAGAAGTGCTAGGGCAATCAAAAAGGATTTCAAGGCACTGGGTAGATCAGTTCACGGGACAGGCGCACAGGTAGTATTTGCTTCAGTTCCTGTACTTGCTGGAATGAATGAGGAGATGACTGAGGAGAAGCGTAGGAAAGCCTACCTTATCAATAGGTGACTAAAGGATTGGTGCCACCATCAAAATTTTGGGTTTTTTGACCATGGGACAAACCCCATAGTACCCAGTCTTCTTAAATCAGATGGGTTTTATGTATCTAGGAGGGGCAAAAGGACTGTAGCCCATAAGTTAGTGGGGCTCATCAGGAGGGCTTTAAACTAGGTTTGAAGGGGGAAGGGATTGAATCCAGGCTCTCCAAAGAGAAGCCCAGGGATGAAAAGCCTGAGTTAAGAGTGAAATCAGCAGCACAGCTGAAGTGCATGTACACCAATGCATGCAGCATGGGCAACAAACAGGAGGAGCTGGAAGCCATCGTGCAGCAGGAAAGCTATGACGTAGTTGCCATCACAGAAACGTGGTGGGATGACTCGCATGACTGGAGTGCTGCCATGGATGGCTACAAGCTCTTCAGAAAGGACAGGCAGGGTAGGAGAGATGGAGGGGTGGCTCTATGTGTTAGAGAGTCTCTTGGTTCTGTAGAACTTGATGTCATCAATGATTAGGTTGAGTGCCTGTGGACCAGAATCAGGGGGAAGGCCAAAAAGGCTGACATCCTAATGGGAGTCTGTTATAGACCACCCAACCAGGATGATGAAGGGGATGAATTATTCTGCAAGCAGCTGACAGATGTCTCAAAATCGCCAGCCCTTGTTCTTGTGGGCGACTTTAACTTGCCAGATGTATGCTGGGAGTTCAACATGGCAGAGAAGAGGCAGTCTAAGAGATTCCTGGAGTGTATAGAGGATAATTTCCTGCTCCAGCTGGTAAATGAACCTACCAGGGGTGGGACCCCACTAGATGTGTTGTTTACAAGCAGAGAGGGGTTGGTGGGAGATGCAGTGGTCAGAGGCCACCTGGGGCACAGTGACCATGAAATAATAGAGTTTTCAATACTCAGGGATACAAGGAAGACCACCAATAAAACCTCCACACTGGACTTCTGGAGGGCAGATTTTAACCTGTTCAGAAGACTGGTCCAGAGCATACCCTGGGAAAAAACCCTTGGAAACAAGGGGGTACAGGAGGGATGGACGTGCTTCAAGAACGAAGCCTTGAGTGCACAGGAACAGGCTGTACCAGTGTGCTAAAAGGCAAGCCGACGAGGTAGACGACCAGCTTGGTTGAACAGGGAGATTCTGAAGGAAATCAGGGATAAAAAGAGAGCTTACACACTATGGAAAACAGGGCTGGCTACTCAGGATGAGTTTAAGAGTATAACTAGGTCATGCAGAAAGAAAATTAGAGAGACAAAAGTGCAATTTGAAGTCAATTTGGCTACTTCTGTTAGGGATAACAAAAGGTGCTTCTATACATACATTAATAACAAAAGGGGGGCAAGGAAAACCTCCATTCCTCTTTGGACTTGGGGGAAAACATATTTAAAAGGGATGAGGAGAAGGCTGTGGTACTTAACACCTACTTAGCCTCAGTATTCACCAGTAGGACAGGTGGCCCTCAGGACAACTGGCCTCTGGAGCTGGTAGAGAGGGACAGGAAACCGAATAGCCCCCCTGTATTCCAGGAGGAAATAGTCAGTGACTTATTGAGCCACCTGGATCCACACAAGTCCATGGGACCAGATGGGATCCATCCTAGGGTGATGAGGGAGCTGGCAGAAGAGCTTGCCAAGCCACTCGCCATCATTTACCAACAGTCATGGCTCTCTGGGGAGGTCCCAAATGACAGGAAGTTGGCAAATGTCATGCCCATCCACAAAAAGGGCCAGAAGGAGGACACGGGAAACTACAGGCCTGTCAGCCTGACCTGGCAAGGTTATGGAGCAGATCATCCTGAGTGCAATCACACGGCAGCTACAGGATGGACAAGGAATCAGAGCCAGCCAGCACGGGTTTAGGAGGGGCAGGTCCTGTCTGACCAACCTGATCTCCTTTTATGATCAGGTGACCTGCCTAGTGGATGAGGGGCAGGCTGTGGATGTGTCTGTCCGGAGTTCAGCAAAGCCTTAGACACCGTCTCCCATTATAATGGCCAGTCTTTGCGAGCGAAGATCCGGGGAAGGTCTTTACACCTTCCAGCCTGCGCATTGGATTTTTTTTTTTTTTTTAGGTGAGACACAGTGTGTGCGGAACTGAGCCCACCCTTTAATCCTAAGGTTCATCTGCCGGGGCCAAGCGAGCTTGGACGGTGGCAGTGAGGTCCTCAGGACATAGATGGATTGCCTTTTTTTTTAAGGGTTAACGAGCTCCACCTGCCCAGGAGTGGCCCTGACCGGGAATCGAACCCGGGTCTCCGCGGTGACAGCGCCGAGCCCTTACCACTAGACCACCAGGGGCTCCCGTCTCCCATTATATACTCCTGGAAAAGCTGCAGCCCACTGCTTGGACAGGGCACTCTGTGCTGGGTTAGGAACTGGCTGGAGGGCCGGGTCCAGAGAGTGCTGGTGAACGGGGCTGCATCCAGCTGGCGGCTGGTCACCAGTGCTGTCCCCCAGAGATCAGTGCTGGGCCCAGTCCTGTTTAACATCTTTATTGATGATTTAGATGAGGGGATTAAGTCCATCATTAGCAAATTTGCAGATGACACCAAGTTGGGGAGGGAGTGTTGATCTGCTGGAAGGCAGGAGGGCTCTGCAGAGGGACCTGGATAGGCTGGAGAGTTGGGATGATTCCAACGGGATGAAGTTCAACAAGGTCAAGTGCCGGGTCCTGCACTTTGGCCACAACAACTGCCTGCAGCGCTACAGGCTGGGCACAGAGTGGCTGGAGAGCAGCCAGGTGGAAAGGGATCTGGGGGTGCTGATTGACGGGAAGCTGAACACGAGCCAGCAGTGTGCCCAGGTGGCCAAGAAGGCCAATGGCATCCTGGCCTGTATCAGGAATAGTGTGACCAGCAGGACGAGGGAAGTGATCCTTCCCCTGTACTCAGCGCTGGTGAGGCCACACCTTGAGTATTGTGTTCAGTTCTGGGCCCCTCAGTTCAGGTCCAGAGAAGAGCAACCAGGCTGGTGAAGGGACTTGAGCACAAGTCCTATGAGGATTGGCTGAGGGAGCTGGGGTTGTTTAGCCTGGAAAGCTCAAGGGTGACCTCATCACTCTCTACAACTACCTGAGAGGAAGTTGTAGCCATATGGGGGTCGGTCTCTTCTCCCAGGCAATCAGCAACAGGACAAGAGGGCACAGGCTTAAGCTCTGTCAGGGGAGGTTTAGGTTGGATATTAGAAAGAAGTTCTTTCCAGAGAGTGTGATCAGGCATTGGAATGGCCTGCCCAGAGAGGTGGTGGATTCACCGTCCCTGGTGGTTTTTAATGTGAGGCTGGATGTGGCATTGAGTGCCATGATCTAGTAATCACAGTGGGGTTGGATCAAGGGTTGGACTTGATGATCTCGGAGGTCTCTTCCAACCCAGTTAATTCTATGATTCTATATACTTTTTTTATGATGCTAACTAGCCACAGTCTGAGCTTTCAACTGTGAGAAGCTGTTTAATTGTAAATGCCCAGATATTTGTACAAAGTAGTTCATGTTTATCCATGGTCTCTTTAAAACAAAAACCCTGTACACAAACCAATTTTCTAGAGTGACACTTCTCTGAATAAGTATCTTACTAGCAATACCAGCCTTTTCACTATGTTCTCTGGGGCAACTGCAAGAAGAATTATGTTTCTGAACAGTTAGAAGGTAAGTAGCTGTTTTTATAAAATTTGTCATTACTTTTGCCTCAAATTTTTAAGTATTCTGCCACTGCTTGGCCAAAACAGCAATCTGGCATTCTCCTTGTATCCTGTTCTCACACCCTGGTATTCATTACTATTATGCTCAACAATATTTTACATCATAAGCATGCAGTGCCATCTTTAAGTTACTAAACCTACTAGATATCATCAGTATGGCAAACAAGACATCTAACAAAAAATTATTTTTAGAAGTAGTAAGATCATTTGCTACATAGGCATTTACTTTACTTGCTGTACAGCTAAATCTCTAAATATTCAAAGTTGCTAAACCCTAGCCAAATATATTTATGTTGACATTGATGGCCCTTCCAATGATCAATAGCCAGTGTCTCAATCACAAACTTAAAAAACTTCATTTTTAGATATTTAGGCTTCTTATATATCAAGCAGTCTAGAGAAACCCGCCCTCTTTCCAATTAATAAGACAGTAAAGTGTACTTATTACAGCCACAAGCTCCTTTGCTGTGTAACACACGAGATGAAAGATAAACAGGATGGTCACAGCAAGTGAAAAATAATACAGAACATTCTACATGGCTCCTAGAAATGAATAAACACACATCCAAAGACTGTTGTCAAAGATGCCATGCCAAAGAGCTCTTTCAGAAACAGACAAGACGTAGGGTAGCACATTTCAAAAATTTTTTCTTCTTCTCCCTCTAATTGGTCTATGAATGAAAGATTAGCTTATAGGCCATATTTTCTCATCAATTTCTTCACCCACTTGAACTTTTTCCTTTTTTATTCCAAGAAACATCTATATCTTCATTTGAAAAATGTTTGAAAGCCTTACCAATTCATAACTTTGTTAACAAAGGGTTTTGGCTAATTTATGCTACTCACTTTATTACATTTCAGTTCTAAACACCTAAATATGCCAAAACTCTGTCACAAAGAGCATGAGAGTCAACACATTGATAATCTTATTTAAAAAGATTATGAACTGGAAGCACTTTAAATTTGAAACCATCCTAATTAGACATACTACTAAAGTAGGATTCCACAATACAACAGTCATCACAAATTTTTGTGGAAACAGTCTCAAAGGAAACTTTTTTTTTTTTAATTATAGGACATGGCCTATCCAGTTGTATTAGAATATTTTTCCAAACTGATAATACAGTGGTAAAAATGTGCAAGTTATCTAACCTTTACGGGCCAGCATATGAGGATCTCCTTGAAAGCACAGGTATTTCAGCACAGCAGTGAGTTACAACTGCCATTTAAGAATTTCAACAGCATTTTTGTTCAGTAAATTTTTACTCATCTTCAAGACAGACAGCATCGCCTATACTGTCCATCCTACACATACACTGCTATTTTTCAAAAACAAACCAGATGCCATCGTTTGAAGCAGACATTTAAAATGTAATTTTACATGAAAGCTATACTACAATCACTGCTGCTATAAACATTTTTGTATTTGAAATACTAAAGAAGAGCACCTGTTTAAGTTTTGGGCGTTATCAGAACACTTAGGCACTTCTGTATATTATTTTTCAAAGGAAGCAATAGCATCTTAAGAGTCTGAAACATAGCTGCAAAACCAAGGTGAAAACTACCTCCACCTTTCAGGTAAGAACAGAAGCCTTCCAAGGTTTTACCACATCTGCTAGGAAAGCCTAGAAGTCAAGCAAATTTGGTTTCAAGCTAAGCTCCTAACATAACATACATACATATTATTACCTATGTAAATAAGTTCTGTTGCCTTCTGTGAAGACCTTCAAGCAAATGCCTTAAATAAAAAGGGATCAAGATGCTAAACTCATATCTTTTAAAGGACAATATCCTTTCAGGACTTCTAAATATTTTAAAGCACCTCTATAGTTAGCTCAAGGAGCAGGAGGCAGTAGACAAGAGCTTTTCAAGACTTATGCGACTACTAGTCTTAATGTACAATTTTCCTCTCTCGACACCCAAACAACAAACCAAGAATCCACAACACTAACACAAAATGCACTGCAAAGCTGCACAAGACACATACAGTAGATTTCACTCTTATTGTGAAACGTAAAAAGCGTAACGAACAGTATTTCAGGCTCAGGATTCTAGGCAGGCAGAAACATCCTCACAACGTAGCAAAATACAGTGCCAGAGCCAGCAGGCCAACGAGAGCATGCAGCCAGCGGCTCCACCAGGAACATTCCTCCCATCAGCTACGGCTTTCGCCGTGAATCCCAGCGCCGATTAGTATAGGAAGTCCCTGATCGTCTCTGCCACTGAGGCGACAGCTACCTCTCGCCGCATAATCAACCCAGCTTGGGGGCAGAGGCCCCCGCTCCCCCGCCCCAGCCCTCTCGGTGGGATCCGCCGAGGATGAGGACTAGGTGCTCGCAACGGCCCAGTGTGGGGTAATCTGGAAAAGCAGCAGATACCGAAGCAGCCACACGGAAACCAGGGCTTAAAAAGAAAAAAACCGAACCTTAGCTCCGTGCTCGCAACATGTCCCCGGACACTCGGCGCGGGAAGATGGCCTCGCGGCCCATAGGCCGCCTCGGCGGTTCAAGCGCCGCGCCACGGCCACCCGCTCAAGCGGAGGCTCAGCCCACAGTGTTCGCTGTGGCGGCTCCCCAGGCAGGTCCGGCCGCCGCCTGCCTGCCTGCCTGCCACAGCGCCGGCCTGTGGTCGCGCTGCCCCTAAACGGCGCCCCCAGCCTCCCCAGCGGTCGCCCGGACCGCCGCGGCCTCGCTCTGCCTGCCCCACTCGCCCGCGTGGCGTAGGCCTCGGCCAAGGATACTTGTTGCACGGCTCTCTGCGTGGTAGTGTCCGGGGACTGGGATTCCTTGAGCAGCTGCAGGATCTGTAGAAGCCCCTGTTCGTCAGGCTTCCATTCATGCTCCATCTTGGCTTGCTGAAAAAACACCAAACAAGAGGCCACGATTAGCGGCGCGGCAGGCCCAGGGAGGGAGGGAGAAGCAAACAAGCAAGATAGCTAGCTAGCTGCGTGACGCCTGGCCCGCTCTTACCCGAGCCCGGCCCCAGAGAAGAACAGCACTAACCTGCTCCTGTACAAGGACTGAGTCACGGCGAATTTGCGCTCTGGCCTTAAGAGCCACCTCGCGTCCTCCTGGGTCCTAGCGCCGAGCACGCCCCGCCCGCCCGAGCCGTCTCGGGCCCGCCGGCACCACCGTCAGCCTTTCCCTAGTGCATTCCACACCGTCAGGAGCCTGGGGGTGACAAAACACGAGCCCCTCAATTCTGGGCGGCGGAAAACAGGGCGCTTCGTCCACAGCCTTTCCCCACCACCACCCGAAACCAGAGAGAAAGCTCCAGCAGCCTCGACAGGCAAAGGGCGAAGCGAAGCCCCAGCCCAGCCTCTTTGGGAGAGCTACGGCCGCGCACCCGCTGCGCCTGGCAGCGACCTAGGAGGCTGCAGACCACGGAGGAGAAGTGGAGATGCGAATGCAGACCCAGGAGATAGGAACGTGGTACCTGCTTTGCTGTCTACTTTACGTCTACATGATTTAGTTTAATGTTGGATAGATTTCATAAGTTTTCGATTTCACGTGTAAAGAGGGAATAAGACCAACTATGCAAGAAGGGAGAAAAGAAACTCAAAAGAAACTACTTTCAATACCTAGTGTATCTTAGCCTCAAAATATATCAAAGGAAATCTCAGGTCAAAATTAGCAATTTTTGTGTATATAGAATAGAATAGTTCAGTTGGAAGGGACCTACAACGATTTTAGAAAAAAATTTCTTCACTGAAAGGGTTGTCAGGCATTGGAACAGGCTGCCCAGGGAAGTGGTGGAGTCACCATCCCTGGAGGGATTTAAAAGACGTGTAGATGGCCTTGGCAGTGCTGGAATAATGAGTGCACTTGATGATCTAAAGGTTTTTTCCAACCTAAACAATTATATTCTGTGATCATCTAGTCCAACTGCCTGACAGCTTCAGGGCTGACCAAAAGTTAAAGCATGTTATTAAGGGCATTGATCTAATGCCTCTTAGACACTGACAGGCTTGGGGCATCAACTGCCTCTCTAGGAAGCATGTTCCAGTGTTTGACCACCCTCTCGGTAAAAAAATGCTTCCTCAGGTCCAGTCTGAACTTCCCCCTATGAATCATTCCCACCCATCCTGTCACTGGATCCCAGGCAGAAGAGCTCAGCACCAACCTCTCCACTTCTCCTCAGGAAGCTGCAGAGAGCCATGAGCTCACCCCTCAGCCTCCTTTTCTCTAAACTAGACAAACCTAGAGTCCTCAGCTGCTCCTCACAGGACATGCCTTCCAGCCCTTCCATCGGCCTTGTTGCTCTTCTCTGGACACATTCAAGGTGAGGCCGCACCAATGTCAAATAGAGTGGGATAATCACCTCTTGACTGGCTGGCTATGCTGTGTTTGATGCCCCCCAGGATGCATTTTGCCCTCTTGGCTGCCAGGGCCCACTCCTGACTCATACTGAGCCTGCTGCTGATCAGCACCCCCAGATCCCTTTCTGCAGGGCTGCTCTCCAGCCACTTCTCTCCCAATTGAGCCTGATGTTACTCCATCCCAGGTGCAGAATCCAGCATTTGGAGTACTTACATTTCATGCCATTTGTTAATGATTTCCCAATGATTTTATATATATAAATACACTTGCATTACATACATATTTTATATATATATATATATCATATATATGCTACTGGGCAAAAAAGGAACATACACAGATTTAAACTGGTCTAAAATATGAAAATGGAAAACAGTAATTACTTAGCCTTTTATAATCTTATTTTAAGTCATTGTGTTTGCAGTCATCCTGCTTACATCCCCCTTCAACTGAAAACTTTCTGCTTCCTCTCCTACAGCACAGTACTCAATATGAGTGCCACATATATGCTGCACATCAGAGCCTTAACTGTTCAGAGGCACTGAGGACAGGAAACAGTGGTTCCTAACAGTGTGGCCCAGGTAATTTGCTGTGTGATTCTTCATCTCACCTCCCCAATGCTTTCAATTAAATCCATATTTAAGTTACAGTCAACTCTCCAGTCTCAGGTGCTGACAAGTGTCTCCAGATGCTAAGTGTCCTGGGAGACTAAAGGCTTGCCACCAATTAATAGGAAAGGACAGGCACAAAAGCTCATATGAGGGTTTTGTGAGCAGTCGCTCTAGTTCAGAAAAGTGACAAGCAAAGGATCTGGGTTAGCCAGGCTCAGGCCATTAAAACCTATACTCGTGGCTCACAATCATATGGGCAGAAGAGTTCTCCATACTGATGCTTGCACAGATGGAACAGATGAAAGGTCAGGTCCAGCAAATCAAGGAAGGGCTAATTTGGGTCTCATTACCCTAACCACTGCCTTGCCAGGAAAGCTGTAGAAATTTGATTTTCTTTGAGACTTGGACCACTGTGAAATTTGGTTGATATTGATTAGAGCTTCAAAAGTTACTATTCAGAACTTATGACACAAGGATTACATCTGTCTAATTTTATCAGGAAACCAAGTGCACTAGACAAAAGCAAGATTAAATATAGAAAACAAGGGAAAAGAACCGGAAAGGAAGGTTGAGGCAGAACAGGAAAAAGCAGGAAGAGAAGCAGGCCATATATCCACAACTAAGAAAAACTAACATAGGTTTCCTTTCCATGAACATGGCCAGAATTAAATCCCAAAAAGGTCTTTCTGCAGTGGAAAAGAGAGAAGAAGGCCTGGAAACAAACGGGACCCCACAGGAGCAGGGGAAGGACTCCTCTCCCTGAGCAGTGGCAGAAACAACTGACCTAAACCCCCATTTCCTGTCCCCCTGCACCACTGGGGGGGAGGAGGGAGAACATGGAAGGAAGGAGGGGTGGGGGGAAGGTGTTTTTAATACTGTTTTATTCCTCACTCTTTTTCTCTGATCCTGATATTAATAAATTCAATTAATTTCCCCACTTTGAGTCTGTTTTGCCCATGATGGTGATCAGTAAGTGACCTCTCCCAGCTCTTATCTCTCCTCATGAATCCTTCATTGGTTTTTTTTCTCTCCTCTGTCAAGTTGCAGAGGGTAGTGAGAGCAACTTTAGTGGGTACCTGACATTCAGCCAGGGTCAACCCACTACATTAGGAGAGACAGACCAGGAAGGCATGGTGGTGAAATTGCCCTCTATGTGAGGTTACACTTGGAATGTATCAAGCTCTGTCTTGGGGTGGATGATGAGTGAGTCAAGAGCTTAGGGGTTAGGATAAAAAGGCAGACAAGTAAGGGTGACACTGTTGGTATTTGCTACAGACCAACTGATCAGGAGGCCTTCTACAGACAGCTTGAAGCAGCCTCACAGTCTCAGGCCCTGGTTCTTGTGGAGGATTTTAACTATCCTGACATTTGCTGGAGAAGCAACACAGCAAAGCACAAATGGTCCAGAAGGTTCCTGGAAAGCATGGATGACAACTTCCTGTCACAGGTAGTGGAGGATCCCACAAGGAATGGTGTGATGCTTGACTTCATACTAACAAACAGGGAAGGCCTTGATGCCTCAGAGGTTTTTTTGGATTTTTTAATTTTTATAGATTTTAGATGTGTAGTGAATGTAGATTTTAATGTAGCTGTATTATATCCCTTACCCTGTAGCATAATGTTGACACATACCCAACCCTACTACCCCATTTCATATCAATCCCTCTAAATTCCATTAGTGTGTTTAGTCTTCTTTACAAGGTAAAATTGTAGAAAAACACCTTAAGGCCTGGACCAGAAGATATTACACAGACACAGCAACCTTCAAGCCCATAACTCTGGAGGAACTCCAAGGACTGTGCAGGCTACAAAGAGGAGGAAGATGAGGAAGAAGGAGTCCCAAATGCCTCCAGACCCAATTCCTGAAGGGGCGTGTTGGGGGGGAGAACGGGGCAGAACTGGGGGGTGGACAAATTGGGATTGATTTGACCTTATTATAAATCATAGAACCACTGTCTGAGGTGCGTGCATGGTATGTATTCCTCTAGGCCTATGGACTCATTAAAGGACCCGCTCTCTTTATCTTATACACTAAATTGACCTGGAGTCTTTTTCTCCGTGGTCTTTTAGGTAAAAGCCTTGTTGGAGATTGTCCTGGGTTTATTTTGGGCCAATTTTCTCTAACCCCTCACACAATTACTAGAAGTTGAGAGAAGGTTTATGCAGACAAAAGAGATGTGATTGGGGAGAATAATATTAGGATTTATTACTAGCAAGATAAAAACTAAAGAACTATATATACAACAATTCTAACTAGGCAAAAGTGCTATGTATTTACAGAAATACCCCTCCCCCCTTGTATCAGTTCAGGAGAAGCAGTCTCTTTTCCATTTCCAGAGCTATAGGTCTTCTAAATAATTTTGCAGCACTTGAAAGTTCCTCTTCTATTATCTCTAGGACGACAGCTCCAATTCATCGCAGTTGGAACTATCTCTCTCTCTCTCTGTTTTCTATGTCGATCTCAGGGCAACCTCCTGGGCTAAGACTTGAGGCTGGGGATTACCCAGGCCCTGTGGGGTCTTCCATGGACTGCAAAGGGACGCTTGCCTCACCATGGTCTTACCACAGTTACAGGGGATAATGGCTTTTGAGTACATCCCTATTTCTTGTGGGGTCCCTTCTCACAAGAGACAGTCCTTGATAGACCTCTCTAGTGTGAGTCCACCTTCGGGCAACAGTTCTTCCATTCTCTGCTGTCCCTTAGGGTCATAAATTCAGCTGCACCAGCATGGATCCCTCACTGGGTCACAAGTCCTACCCAGGCCAACTTGCTCCAGCGTAGGTCTCTCTCTCCATGGGCCACAGGTCTCCAACAGGACTCTGTTTCATCTTATGCCTCCCACGAAGTCACATCTTCTTCATGCACTCCTCTGCTTCGGCGTGGGCTCCTTCATGAGCTGCAGAAGGGGGTCTCTGCTCACCAACAGTCTTCCACAGGTGGCAGGGATTTTTAGTTTTCAGTCTCTTCCCTGCTGAACGGAGAGAGAGACAGGGGAAAAGGAACCCTCCCTTCGGGCTTCTCTCTCCTCCGGCTGCCAGCTTTGACCTTGGAGGCTGCGCTATCTCTGCCTGGAATTCCTTTTGCAGCAAATCTTGTCCAGGTTCTTCTCTAAAGTTTTTTTTTTTTCTCTTCTCTGAAGTTTTTTTTCTCTACTCTGTTACAGGAGAGAAGGGGGCCTGGCCCCCCTCACCTGGGCCAGACTTGGCCGGGGGTGGGGGGGCAGACACCTGGGCCCAACA